AAAAGTTAAAACACGTGTGACGCACAACACTTGTTCACCGGCAGTGGCAAACTTTACTGGAAACCGTTTACGTATTAAGCGGTATAGTGATGAGCGATTTCACTACCGGACGTGGAACAACCGTAAAGCGTTTAAATCATTTTCCGAGTGCTCTCGTGGCAGCCGACATTTTGCCGTTATATCGTAGATTAGGGTTTCCGACTCAGTTTTTATTCCACGCCCTTCCTGTAGATTTTCAACAGTCCCATTTGAATTTCTGACTTATTAAAATTAAATTTACAAAGGTATAACTATAATTTCCTCTAATAATGTTCGAGCATTTTTATCGTAAAGAACGTCATTGTCGATATCATCAATATCCTAGTAGACAAATCATATTGTGATTGCACATTTGGCACGGGAAATTACAATACCCAGAAACTAATATTTGACTGGTAGGTATATATTAATATTTTTGTTTATCATATTTTTACACATATGCGTCGAGTTACAAAACTCGTCATTAATGCCGGCAATATATTATAAAATTTAAATTCCACCGGTACTTATTTTTGACCTGAAAACAAATAAACTCCTTTGAGAACACCAAATATACATATACTTTACAAAACCTCTATTAGATATTCAATCATTCACTTACATTATGAACATAATAATCTTAGAAATTCACAATCAAAATCACGCCAAAAATATTTAAACACCATTATTTCGGCATTCAAAGAAAACAATATTACCATTATGCAATTCGTCAAAGCTGCATCTAAACATTAACCAGCCAAATTTTAATTTTTAAATTATTGTATTTAATACACTAAATATATTATAATAAATCTATACCCAAATAAATGATGTAATCTTAATTAATCAGATTGGATTTGGATTAAAATTTTACCTAAATAATGTTACTTTTATTATAGGTAAAAAAACTTACCGGTGGAATTTACATTATTTTTTTCAGGTAAAAAAAAACATACTGGGCGAATTTAAATTTTTTTTCAGGTAAAAAAAACGTACCGGTGGAATTTACATGAAAAAAGGTCTAAAAAGGTAGCAATCGGTGGAATTTACATACACCCCAAAATGTGCATGACAAGAGCTCCTATATTGGGTTTGATAATCATGATGAATGATTTCGCGTTTGCTTTCTTATCGGAAGTAGTGTGCAGCAGAGACCAGTGCGCGCTAACTGCACAAAGGCGAAAATCGGTCCGCATTTCCGATGCACGACGACGATCTCCACGACATTCGTATTACACATGTATATGACATGAGTATATAATAAAAAACAACCATTGTACGAATTTGATATAAAATATGGATTTTAACTTTATTCAATTTCAATATAAATTTTGAAAACCATTACCAATCATTAGCGTTTTTGATATTCTAAAAAAATTTTAACGATTTTTATCGATATTCGAAATCGATGTTGAAATCGATTTCAAGCCCTGATTGAGAGGCTTAGGAGAAATGAATATTGATCAATATTTTAACCCAATATAATTGACTCAATTCTATTGATCAGATAGGATGCTTATGAATTCAACATTGAAATCTAAACCTAAATTTTGTAATAAAGATATTTAATTAAGTCATAAAATATCATTGTTTGTTTTTAAAAAGGAAAAAAGAAAAAAATGAACGACTGGACATGAATAATAATAATAATTATAATAAATAATAATTAGGTGAAAATTAAAAAAAAAATCTTTCACAAATTACATGCATTTTTTTTTTTTTAAATATTTTAAATTAAAGAAAATCAACCAAATTAATTAAAATATTCTACAATTTAACATATTTTTATTGAATACTTATTAAATACAATTTTCAACCTATAAATAATGAATTATATGGTTATTATATTATTAAAGCTAAGAAGAAAAAGAATGAGAAGAAGAAAACTATAAATTTACTCGATTGTTTTAAATAAATGTTTGCTGTATAAAAATTGATTATGATACATTTTTCTTTTTGAAAATATCTGGGTGGTTTATTATTTATTTTCTTTTCTTGAAAACAAGACAATCATTTCTAAATGTTCAAGACATTTTCAATTAAATTCTTAAATATATTTATTTTCACGATATTGAGGATTTCTGAACTACTTTTTTGTAGTTAATGTTGTATAATTCATACATTCTTGAGTATAATATAATGTATTTAATTTTTTTTTTTATTAAAAAATCATGTGGATACCTAGCATTGATAAAATAAAATACACAAATAATAACATAAAAAAGTATATAATATAAGTACATAAAAAATTAATAAACTTTAATTATATTTAATGATAAATTCTATTATTCAAAAGAAATTATTCTGAACACAAATGATTAGTCATAGTGAATCAGTGTTAAATTCATAAAGAAGTCACTTAGGAAAATGTTATTTTCATTGATATTATTCTATATTTATTAATTTTTTTAAGTAGATATAAGTTGATACATTTTTTTCCGTTATTATGTTTATGTTATAAGCAGGGTTACCATTATTTAGTTTTAGAAAAAATATAATGAGACTTTTCAAAACAAAGAAATCGATATCTTATATGTAGTGAACAAAAGACAGAAAAAAAAAAATTGTAACGTTAAAATGTACGATTAACTGCTGAAGTACGTGTTATGAGCAAAGACAGTATTATAATATTATTTACTACAGTATAATGAACGGTGATATTAATAATTTGAAAGACCGATTCAATCTACGCGCGGATTAAAATCCCTTTTGTTCTTACAACATTTAGATAAAAGGAATTTAAATAAGAGCTGCAATCACGTACTACATTGTTTGAATTATCACATAATAAGTAAGTCTGGATGAAGACCATAACTAGACCGAATAATGTGCATTTTGTTTTACCGGCGGATCAAATCACTACTTAAATGTCAATACGATACACACTATTGGCCAAGAAATGTTTGGAAATTTGAGACTTTCCTACAAGAACCCTGTGTTGATGTACATTTTATGTGATTTCAATACTGTTTTGTAAGTACCAAATCCTTTGAATTTCTGTAATTTCCTTTTCGAAATTTTTTATTCTTATATAATTATTAATCATTTAAATGGATAAGTTTTTATTAAAATGAAGGTCAAGCATAAATTAATGTACGTGTGTGTAACTGCAATCAATATTACACTCTTTAAATATGCATTACAATATTTGATGATAATATTTCATCAATAGTAACGCATTAAAGTTTTTTTTTTTTTTTTTAAGGCAATAGTTAATGTACGAGTTAGCTAAAATTCTACTTAATTCATCGTTTCTAGTATTATTATTGTTATACGTGATATGATTAATTTTTGTTCAAACATGAACTCACTCGTGACTTACAATATTACGTTGTATTACGTGACTTACTCGAAAATGTATGAATATACATTGTAATCGTATAATATAAAATGTATTGTTATTTTTATAATCAAAACATCTATAATCTATAAATAGTATAAAACAAAGTCTATATTATTTTAGATTTTTTGTAAAAAAAAAAGAAAATAGAAGACTGAATACTGTAATGTGTGTGTTGTGTTACAATAAAATAAGATTAGATTATTATTTTTATTTATTGAACTGAGTAAATTGTACTTATAAATAATTACTTCGTACAAAAATTATAAAGTCATATCTGAAAGACGTCATTCGAACATAGTAAGAAAGAGATGAAGAATTGTCAACGGAACGTGATGATCACCCTAGCTATTTAAAAATCAAAATTTTCATCGAAAGTGATAGTTAAAAAATGTATGTTAATATTTAGTCTGTGTTTCTTTATATCTAGTGCACGCAATGATCACAGCATCGACACACAAGGATATTCATCTATGTGGAATTTTTTTTTTTCACAGTGGTGTTATGATGGATACATAGATCTTATAAAAAGATTAAAAGAAGCAAATTTCAATTAATTGTAACAATAATTGTTAAAATTAAATAAAAAAATAAAAAATTCAAATTTCTTAATATTTATATATTTTACATATTTTTGATATATTTTTACTAAAATTAAGTTTTAAAAATTATCGATTGATTGAATAGAGAGTTATGTAAGAAATACAAAACATAAAAATTTGATAAAATCGGTGTTAACTTGAATCCGGGAAAAAAATTTGTGAGTTAGTGAAGTTACTTAACATGTTTGGTAGTACTTATATCAAATTGATTATGTATTAAATAAAATATTGATCAATACTCTAGACAGTATATGGGTCACTGGTTCAATTATTGTTGATCTATGTTGAGTGTTAAGACGGAGGTGTTGTTGAAAAGTAGATTAACTCTTCCATAGGGTAGACATTTATAAAAAAAACAAACTAATATTCATCCGTGCTTACCTTGTCAATCAAATATAATCTGTATTGCGGTGTAAATATTTTTGTAAAAATATAAGTGATTATATATAATAGTGTATGACAATGTTATACTCGATTACTATCATATTAATAATATTATTATATTATTATTATTTTTTGAACTCATCAAATAAAATAATATACATGAACCTTTTTCAGTTCATATAAATAACAATACTTATAAGTTATGAAATTATATTGGTATTTTTAGTGTGCATTAGAATCATGATAAAAAAAAAAAAAAAAAATTTTATCTATAATAAAATTAAAGCTTGATGAAGTACAAAATGTCATATGCCCTTCATATTTTTAATTCTTCCATTTTCTTCAAATTATGTAAATTTAAATAAATAATTGCATAATTTGTTGTATAAATATTTATTATATCGTATCTTTACTAATTTTCAGTATCTCTTGTATATATTGGATTATTTCTATCGTTTAAACATTGCATGTGCTTATAAGAAAAGGCGTAGGGAAAGTGGCGCTTCCACCGCCCGATGCATCTTAAAAATGCATCGCAATAGCCCTACCCTGACTTTAATTGGTTGGGGTAGTCTGGTCCTCCAGGTTGGGGGTTTCTCGTAGGGCTAACCACCCTACAGTGTTAAAATAACCTGGTTACGAAACAACTACAAAATATGCCTCGGATGGAAAATGTGGAGCTTAAGGATTTTACAACTGGAACCTGGAACGTACGAACATTATATAAACCTGGAAATCTGACGACAGCGATATTGGAACTTGAACGATATCGGCTGGACATTATTGCGATTCAAGAAGTAAGGTGGACGGGAGAAGGAAGCTTAAAAACTGGAAATTGGACGGTATTCCATAGTGGTGGTGATGAACATCAGGGTGGGGTTGGTTTCATTGTGAATGACAAAATATTACATAGAGTTAAGAAGTTTAAGGCAGTGAATGACAGAATTTGTCATATGGAGCTGGAGTGCCGATGGTTTAATGTGATATTAATTAACGGGTACGCCCCAACTGAAGACAAAGAAGATGAAATCAAAGATATTTTTTACGAAAATTTGGAAAATGAGTACGACCGGATACCGACCAACAAGGTAAAAATCTTATTGGGAGATTTTAACGCAAAAATAGGGCAGGAGGTAGAGTATAGACCAACAATTGGGAAGGAGAGCCTGCATAGAACATCAAATGATAATGGCACAAGATTAGTTAATTTTGCTACAACCAGAAATATGATAATAAGTAGCACCACATTCCCACATAAGGATATACACAAGGAAACCTGGGTATCACCATCAGGACAAATAAAAAACCAAATAGACCATGTTGTAGTGGACAGACGTTTCAAGAGATGCGTCATGGATGTCCGGAGCATGAGAGGTAGCAGCGCAATGTCCGATCATTTTATAGTAAGAGCAAAAATCAAGCTACGTCTGTCAGTTGAATGGAGAAAAAAGAACGTCTTTATCAAAAGGTTTAACATAGAAGACCTAAAAAACCAAGAAATCAATATACAGTACAAGAACAAACTAAAAGAGACCTTGAATCTGACGGAGAATTCAAATAACGTAGACAATAACGTAGATAATCTATGGAATGAGATCGAAAACTCGATTAAAACGGTGGCCACAGAAGTCCTAGGATTTGAAGAAAGAAGAAGGGGGAAAAAATGGTTTGATGAACAATGTAAAAAAGCGAATAATGAAAGAGATATTGCCCGAATAAAAATGCTAAAAGACCCAAGTGAGGAAAATAAGAGAGTTCTATCGGCTAGACAAAGGGAAACTAAACAATTGTTTAGAAAAAAGAAAAGAGCATGGGAAAATTCTAGACTTGAAATAATAGAAAACAGCTATAAAAACAATGTAAGACTTTTTTTTGAAAAGGCGAATGAAATTAAGAATGGATTTAAGACAAAAGCAACAATTATAAAGGATGAAGAAGGATTACTAATAACGGATAAAAAAAGGCTGCAAACGAGTTCAGGAACATGTTTGAAACAATGCTGAATCAACCTACTCGAGTAGAAGTGGAAGAAAACCTCAACACGGTTGAACAGAGATTAGACGAACCCACGTTAGAAGAAGTAGAAAGGGCAGTAAATATGTTGAAAAATAGGAAAGCACCAGGGGAAGACACAATTGTTACAGAACTACTGAAAGAAGGAGGAAAAGAACTAATGACACGACTGAAACGACTAGTAGATAATATATGGAAACAAGAAGAAATACCAGTAACATGGCACATGTCAGTTCTATGCCCGGTTCACAAGAAAGGAGACGCTATGGTTTGCCAGAATTACAGAGGAATATCCTTACTAAACACTTGTTACAAATTAGTTTCGAACATCATACTGAACCGTATCAAACCATACACAAGGGAAATAGTAGGGGAATATCAGGCAGATTTTACGTCAGGGAAATCTACAGTGGATCAAATTCATACAATAAAACAAATAGTAGAGAAAAGTCACGAGTTCGACATAGATGTGCACCTACTATTTGTTGATTTCAAACAGGCATATGACTCCGTAAATCGAGGTAGATTATGGAAAGCAATGACCCAACTCGGAATCCCTACAAAATTGGTGAGATTGATAAAGACATGTGTGCAAAAGTCCAAGTGTATAGTTAAGTTCAACGGAGAAATATCTGAAGATTTCTCAGTTGAAACAGGTCTTAGACAAGGAGATGCGTTATCCCCCACATTATTTAACATAGCCCTAGAATCGGTAGTGAGAGAAGTACTTGATGATGATGTCACGGGCCTAAGAATTAGAGGAGGACACCAAATCACACTAGCTGCGTATGCTGATGACATAATAATTATGGGAGAAACCGAAGAGGACCTAAAACGGTCGGCAGAAAAACTAATAAGTAAGGGAAAAGAGATTGGACTACAAGTTAATGAAGGAAAAACGAAATACTTAATAGTATCACGTAGAGAACAAGTACAAAATTCGTTAGTAGTCGGTGGATTTACCTTTGAAAGGGTAACAAACTTTAAGTACCTGGGAGTAGATGTTAACCAACAAGCAAACAGCCATGATGAGATTAAAAGGAGAATAACTGCAGGAAATAAGAGCTATTTTGCGCTCGTACCTATATTTAAATCAAGATTAATCTCCAAAAATACAAAAATAAGACTATATAAAGTACTCATTAGACCTATAGTATTGTATGCTTGTGGAGCATGGGCATCAACAAAGTCGGACGAGAAAAGATTACTACTATTTGAAAGGAAAATACTGCGAAGAATTTATGGACCCAAAAGAAACGAGGAAAATGTATATGAACGAAGAACTAATGCAGAATTAAGGGCAATGTTCAATGAGCCAAACATATTGGGAATACTTAAAAGCAGACGAATAAGCTGGGCCAGGCATGTATGGAGAGCGGAGGGCCAAACAGTATATGATGTCACAATGTGGAAACCAAATAAAAAACGACCGATAAGAAGGCCAAGACAGCGATGGACAGACCGGGTTAAAGAAGACCTCAAGCTCCTGGGGATTAGAGAAGGAGAACAACTGGCGAAGAACAGAGAAGTGTGGAGAGGTGTAGTAGAAGCGGCGATGGACCTTCAAGGTCCGGAATAAGCAAAAAAAAAAAAAAAAAAATGTGCTTATAAGCAAACCAAATCTTAGGAAATTAGTTCTGGATTTCTGTCTATCTTGAACTTTTTTCTCTTTTGTAAAATATTTTTTTCTCATTTTTCAGTTGATATCTGTGTTCTATGTAATATTTGAGTTCAATAACACACCAAATTGTATGTTTCATTTTCCGTAACTCGTTCAATTGTTTGTACACGTGAGAGAGTAACTTCCTATGGTAGTGGCGTGACTAATACGATGACGAATCATACCCCCTAAGTAATTTGAATTTATTTTTCACACATTGATACTCCTCAAATGTGTACTTACATGTTGAATGCATTGCCTAAATATTACTTTTAGAAACATGCTACATTCCAGCACCTTTGAGAATAAACGATCGGTGCACGATTATAGAAGGAGGACATGCTACCCACAAGTGTTACTATAAATTTACACACCACGCTGTGTACACATGTGTAAGACATCATTGAGCACGAATTACGCGTAAAATGCAACGGGTACTACGTGAAATCAAATAACTAATTAGTATAATTTGACATAAAAACATCAATAACATTTGGTATTTCGATTAGGTAACATGTTGCTCATATTAACCAATTAATAGTAATTATGGTATCAGTCTATAAATAAGTCAGTCAAAATGAGTGTCAATACTCAGTACTGATCTGTGTTTGAATAAGAGCTCTTAATACACGTGAATTTATGGAATTCACGTGTCACGTGTCACGTGTAAAATCCAAAATAAAAACGTATATCCTTAACTTAATACTGTACTATTAATATTTTATTAAATCTTCAAGTGTATAACATAAAATTACTAATTTTACCATTGTAAAAATGGATATATATTTAGGATAAACATGTATTTCACGTGTACACGTGAATTCCATGACACGTGTTTTAAGAGCTCTAGTTTGAATGAGTCGATCTTAGTTTGATAAGTATTTTTGTTCAATTAAATTAAATAATTATTGTTGGATATGAATGCATGTTCATGAACAACAATAAGGATGCTTAAAAATTATTTTAACCTTTTCCGTTCCAGATAAACGAGTTTCAAGAAAATTACTGAGTGAAAAAAATGGATTTCTAAACAAAGACAGTAAATTCATTTAAATGTTATAAACATTGTTATAATATTGTATTCACCAACAAAATCACGCAGTGTTCGGAATTTATAAAAAAATTAATTAACACAGTTGGTCAACTTTGATATTTTCCGGTGTGTTTGTTGTACGAAAAAACAATAAATTATGATTCAACTGTTTATGCTGTGACGGTGCATAAGTTTTACGGAAAAAACAATAAGAAGAGAGGTGTGTAGGTATTTAATTAGTCGTTGTGACAACATTACGAACGAACGAATTACAGGTTATGACAGTGTTTTCTTACTGTTACAATAACTCGTTATTGATTAATTAAATACAAATCAAAAGAAATATTGTATAATAATCTATACATATATATTGCACCAAAATATATAATAACAATTTATAACATAATGTATAGAATTTTTTTTAACAATTAATAATAATTATTATTATTATAACGATAACTTTCGGTGGAATGAGCTGTGGTTTATCAAAACTTGAATACGCAATGATCACCACATGTACCAACATGAATGTTGGTCCAAGCTGATTTATAAGCCATATATACTTTTTGAACAAATCGACATTTAAAGAACAATGCTAATATAATTCGAGTAATATCATATTAATCCATTGTTTAATTTATCAAGAACTTTATATTTATTTTTTACTGACAAAAGTGGTACTAAAACCTTCAGCAGAGTGTTGAAAAAACAGTAAAAAATTTCAGCCAAATCCGTTCAGTAGTTTCCTCAGTTAGCGCGGTCTTTGAAAACTCCTTAAAATTTTATAAAATATTATAGATTATAGATGTATAGATTTTTGTTAACAATTAATAATAATAATTAAAACGATAACTATCGGTGGAATGAGCTGTGGTTTATCAAAACTTGAGTACGCAATGATCACAACATGTACCAATACGAATGTTGGTTCAAGCTGATTTGTACTCGATAATATCCGCGGTTGTGAAATTCTGGAAACACGATGACTATAAAAAAGAAAAAAAAAATTAAATTAAAAGAAAAAAATTAATGCATTTTTTCTAACATTCTCTTATAGAGTAGAAAAAAAAGAAATTAATAAATCCAGACACGGAGAAGATTCCGTGAGTTATCGGCAAGTATCTAGCCATATATACTTTTAGAACAAATCGACATTTAAAGAACAATGCTAATATAATTCGAGTAATATCATATTAATCCATTATTCTGTAAAATGTTAAGTATAATATTTACCGACGACGGTCGCCACAAAGCGTCTTCTTTTTCTTCACTGGTCATGGAAATGATTGAAGACGAACCAACGTCGGAATCGGGACAAATTTAATTCAAAATTGAAAAGCAAAATGTATAATTTTTTTTTTTTTATATACATATACTATAAATTTTTTTTGTACACATTTTTCTTCATATTCGTAAAACGTTGAAAGTCTGTTGAAAAACTATGAAAATCACAGATGCTCGTGTAATAGACCCAAAATCAAATGAAATGAAATCGACTTCGCTTAGGGATGTAAGAATAATATTATTATATTAACGCGTACAATGTCCTTGGGTCCGCGTTCCACGCATTCCTGTAAACTGTTCGCCCAATCGCGGCAGTTCTTTTCCTGCGTCGCCACCTCGTGGTCGGATAATATATGTTAAATTACAATTTGAATCAGATGTATATTACTCGTACATTTTTCTAAACAATCTTATAAGTGACTACCGTTTGTACCTACTGTTGTAACATTTTGGAAACGATTTTTATCACACATATCACTTTTAAAACAATTAAAAATATGTTATGATTGTTGAATAGAAAACTACATGATCATACGCGTTCGCGTTACTTAGTACATGCGAGTAAATATTTAATTTTGAAAATAGAAGTCGCACGGTTTTAATAATTTTGATAATGTTTCAAATGAATACACAGTGTTATAAAAAAAAAAAAAAATATATGAGTAATAATTCCGAAAAATATTCTTCCGGAACATACATATATATATATATATATGTATTAGGTATGTAGTCACAATGGGCCCTCCTATCGCAATATTTAGAAAATTGGTAGAGTTAAGTATAACTTTGGTGCCATTGCGCTCACACACATACACACACACACAAAACAAAACAAATAAATAAATCTGAAGAAATAATATTCAAATGCGAACGTACTCGAGTGGTAGTGGCAGTCGATTGTTCTTGCGACTTCGGCGGACGAGCGGAAACGTTCCT